GCCTCCTCAACACCCTCTACGAGCCCATCCACGCCGCCCAAGCAATCGTGGATGCACTTGCGTGGGATGTCGCACGCCACGCGGACGTTCTTCGCTGACACCGGTCTCCCCATCTGGCCTCCATCGACGCCGCGACCGCGGACGGGATGCCCCCACAGCAGCTGCAGGGCCCGCGTGGCCGCTCCTGCGGCCATCGCCCAGCCGCGCTGACTACCACATGGGCGGGCGCGCGGCCACATCGGCGGTGGTGGATTTCCTGCGACCAACGACCAGGGCCAACGCATCTGCCGTCAATGTGGACTCGCCTGCCGCTACGAGGACAGCAAGTGCGTCGAGAAGTGGGGTCCTGGTCCCAAGGGCCCCGGCACCGTCTGTGATCGGTAAGCAACCGCCGCTGCATCATCCTCACGTCTTTCTCCCGACACGTTCGGCAGATGCCGCAAGAAAATGAAGCGCGTTGAGCGGCGCGGAACGTTGGACTCGATGAGTTTGAACGCCCACCTCCACAACCAGCCTTTGGCAATCCGCCCCTCGGGCGCTCCACAAGCGGCCCCAGGCTCGTACCCCAACAGGCGCAGCTCGCACTCGGGCTCGGACCGCTCCGTTCACCAGACTGACACCCTCCCCACCCACCCTTCTCACTTGTCGCGCGCCCCCAGCCTGAACGGGCTCTCCTCGAGCGCCGTCTACTCCCAGCAAGATCGCGACCGGGACTATGACTGCGAGAACGGTGCGTCGCCGTATCACCGCTCGTCTCATCGTGGCCCTACCCCGCCCAGCATCGCCACGCTCCCGCGGGACGACTACGACCGCCTCCTCCACCCGTCCTCTGCCCACAAGCCGAACGGGTCGATGGATGGCCACGCGCGGACCTCGTCCAGCCGGTCTGTAAGCCGCTCCCCGCACCCGAAACCCGCAGCCACGACGGAGAACACAGGTCGCAGCTCGTCGCGCGGCTCGAAGTCGTCTGTGTCCGACGGCGATGCGGAGGGCGAGGACGCGGACGACGCCGAGGCGGAGGTGGTCGACGGCGATGCGGACGCCACGGAGCGCAACACCTCGACGGACGAGGAGTGGCTGAAGAAGGAGGACGCATGACTCTCGGACGCCGACGCGTCCACGATGCCCGCGTGTCCGTGGAACGAACCTAGAAGAATGACAGCGCCGCGGTCGCTTGCAACCCCGCGCGACGAAGCTGCTAGGCTCTGCATGGCACCTTAAGCACTAGGGCGGCGCGTCGTGGTGCCCATCACCTTTCGCGCACACCGACTTGTTGTAGTAGATTGATACTTAGACTAACAGCAATATATCTTTGCTTTGAGATTGCTCGAGGGTGTTTGAGTAGTCAGTGATTAGCTTGCATTACATCTACTTATGTGAATGCGTGCAAATTGGTGATATTGGTTTTTCACAAGTCCTACTTTAGTGCAAATGAGCACTTCCCCAGCTCCATTAGCGCAAAATATGCGGATTACTTCACCATTAGACCATTAGATGGGTATTAGCTCTAAGATTAGCGGTGTTATCACTCATTTGCAAGTGAGGGTTTTCCTGATGTCCGCGGAGCCGCACCCTCGCCAACGACATGCCTGCCGCCTTCGCCGCTGCCGCTCAAGCGCCACCGCCTGTCGATGCCCTTGTCGCACAAGACCCGGTAGAAGCATACCTCAAGAATCTGCCTCCGGGCGCGCCCCGCGGTGTCTTTGAAGCCGCCGAATCCGTCTCCATCCACGCCCTCGATGCCATCTTCCTCAATAAAACGCGGGTTTCTTGCATCTTGGACTCTGGCTGCTCCGTCTTGGCTATGTCTGAGGCGGTCTGTCATCATCTGGGGTTAGCGTACGACCCGAAGATCGTCCTCCGCATGCAGAGCGCCAACGGCGAATTCAACTACTCTCTCGGCCTCGCCCGCAACGTCCCCGTTCAAGTCGGCACTCTCTCGCTGTACCTCCCCTTCCACATCATCGCCTCGCCTGCCTATGACGTTCTCCTCGGCCGCCCCTTCTCCGTCTGCGCAGCCAGCATTGTCCGCACCCGCATCGACGGATCTCAGACGATAACACTCACCGACCCGTACTCCGGCGCCAACACCACCATCCCGACCGCGCCCCGGCGACCTCCAGAGTTCAAGATGGGTACGTATGCTTCGCCCAACGAGCAAGAGCAAGAGCAAGAACAAGAACAAGAGGATTTTTAGCTGTCGAGGATCTGGTACAAGACCAGGGAGATATCGCGCTCATCATACAAGTCGGCCCCCATCCTGATTCTCCCACCCCCGCCATCGAAGCCTATTCCATTCTCGGCATCACCTTCAGCCACTCCGACCTCGACCTACTCTACTTATCCGCCTGCGACCCTGATCTCCTCGGAACTGACACCCTTCGTGACCCCTCTATTCCATATGCCCTCTATTATCCTGACTCCTCCCCTACTTCCATCCCCGCTTTCTCCATTCATTCCTATTCCTCATCACCACTCGCCCCGCATCCTGAATCCGCCTCGTCTCTCCCTGCCTCTGCCTCTTCCATCAGTCCCTCATCCGCTCCCGCCTTCATCTCCACCAAGAAAAAGTACAAGCCTGTCGCGAAAAAGGTCCGCCCTGTGCTCGCCCCCCTTCCCAACCAGTTCCGAATCGTCCGCAACATCCTCGGCGACCCCCTTGCAAACCTCCTACCCTTATCCCCTCATGCCCCCGATTTCATCCCTACCGGCCGCTATACCGAAGAGTGCAAGAAGTTGGTCGACGCGCAATATGACAGCAACATCCTCAATGCGGACGAGCTCAAGATAGTCCACCAGCTCTACATGCAGCAAGACCGCGCGTTTGCCTGGACCGACGAAGAGCGCGGCTCGTTTCGTGAAGATTTCTTCCCCCCTGTCAACATCCCCGTCATCCCGCATACGCCCTGGGTCCAGCGCAACATCCCCATCCCGCCTGGTCTCTACGACGAAGTCTGCAAGATCATCCGCGCAAAGGAAGCCGCCGGTGTGTATGAGCCATCAAACTCCTCGTACCGCTCGCGCTGGTTCTGCGTTCTCAAGAAGGACGGCAAGTCCCTCCGCCTCGTCCACTCGCTCGAACCCCTCAATGCCGTCACCATCGCGCACTCCGGCGTCCCCCCGTTCTCCGAAGAAATCGCCAACCACTGCGCCGGCCGCGCGTGCGGTGCCACCCTCGACCTCTTCGTCGGCTACGATGAGCGCCGCATTGCTGAGTCCTCGCGCGACCTCACCACTTTTCAGACGCCTTTTGGCGCACGCCGCCTCGTCACCCTGCCCATGGGTTGGACCAACTCCGTCCCGATCTTCCACGACGACGTCACCTACACCCTTCAAGACGAAATCCCGCACAAGGCTATGGTCTACATCGACGACATCCTCGGCCTCGGTCCCCGCACACGCTACGAGATCCGCGACTCCGACGGCACCATAACCGGCTACGAAGTCATCCCGCAAAACCCGCGCGTCCGCCGCTTCGTCTGGGAGTTCCTTGTGGACATCAATCGCATTATCGAGCGCATTAAGTACGTACATGCCACTCTCTCCGGCCCCAAGTCCATCGTCCTCGCGCTCGCATACACCGCTATCGGCCACCGCTGCACGTACGAAGGCCGCCTCCCCGAGCCCTCCAACTACAAAAAGATCATGGCCTGGGGGCCCTGCCGCGACCTCTCCGACGTCCGCGCCTTCCTCGGCACCATTGGCGTTGCCCGCGCTTTCATCCCGCACTTCGCGCACCGCGCTTCGCCACTCACACAGCTCACGCGCAAAGGCGCCCCCTTCGTCTGGGGCCCCGCGCAAGCCGACGCGCAAGAAGAACTCAAAATCGCGCTCATGAAGTCGCCCGCGCTCCGACCAATCGACTACAACTCCAGCGGCACCGTCGTGCTCGCTGTCGACACCTCCTACATCGCCGTTGGCTACCTCCTCGCGCAATGCGATCCCGACGACCCCGCCCGCCGCTACTACGCCCGCTTCGGCTCCATCGTCCTCAACGACCGCGAGGCCGCGTACTCACAGGCCAAGCGCGAGCTCTACGGCCTCTTCCGCGCTCTCGGCGACTGCAAGCGCATTCTTATAGGGGTGCGTGGTATCATCATAGAGGTCGATGCGCGTTACATCAAGGGCATGCTGAACAACCCCGACGAGTCGCCCAACGCCGCCATCAATCGCTGGATCGTCTTCATCAAGACCTTTCAATTCACCCTCGTACATGTCCCGGCGTACTCCATGGCCCCGACGGACTCTCACGCCGCCGCCCGCAACCTCTCGACACCCCCGACGAGCCTGACAAGGACGAAGATTGGATCGACCGCATGAACGGCCTTCTCCACCTCATCAACGTCCCCGCCCAGTTATCCCTCCACCACGCAAGCACCCCCGATCTCGACACTGGTACCCACCTTCACCACCGACATCAGCCCTTCCCCCGACTCCGCCACTACCGCAGCAACGCCGCCAACCATCGCGATCCCCCGCTCCGACTCCGCGCAGCGCGAAGACCGCCGCCTCCTCCAAGTATGGGAGTACCTCGACTCCCTCAAGCACCCGACCGACCTCAACGACGACGCGCTCGCCCGCCTCCTTCGCTTCGCCTCCCGATTCTTCATCGCGCGCGGTAAGCTCTGGCGCCGCGACCCAACCGGCGCGCACCGAGTTGTTGTATTCCCCGACCACCGCCTCGCGCTCCTCCATGCCGCCCACGACGCCGTCGCGCACAAAGGCATCTACGCAACCAGCGCCCTTCTCGCGCTCCGCTTTTGGTGGCCACAGCAACAGGCCGACGTCGTCTGGTACGTGCGCTCGTGCCATCTCTGCCAGCTTCGCCAGCTCCGTCTCGTGCATATTCCCCCATCCGCGCCGCTTCCGCCCTCTACCCCGTTCCTCCGCGTTCACGCCGACGCCATGCACCTTCCGGCATCTGCGGGTTTCAAGTACCTCGCCCACCTCCGCTGCGCTCTCACCGGTTACGTCGAAGCCGCACCCCTGCGCCGCGAGACCGCCCGCGCGCTCGGCGACTGGCTCTTCCGCGACGTCCTCTGTCGCTGGGGACCATCACCGACATCGTCACCGACAACGGCGCCCCTTGGGTCAAGGCCGTCCAGTACCTCGCCAAGAAGTATGGTATCAACCATGTCCGCGTTTCGGGCTACAACTCACGCGCAAACGGCATCATCGAACGACCTCATTTCGACATGCGGCAAGCTCTCTTCAAGGCCGCCGACGGAGACCAATCGCGCTGGTCGCAGTACCTTCACCATGTCCTCTGGGCCGACCGCATCACCGTCCGTCGCCGCCTCGGCTGCTCCGCATACTTCGCCGTCACCGGATCCCACCCCGTCCTCCCGCTCGACCTCGCCGAAGCCACCTTTCTCGTACCACCGCCCGACGGAATCATGTCCACGCCGATCTCATTGGCGCCCGCGCCCGCACTCTTGCACGCCGCCGCGAAGACCTCGACCGCATCCACTCCAACGTCTATGCCGCCCGCCTGCTCGCTGCGAAGAAACTCGAGCGCGAACTCGCGTCCACCATCCACGACTTCGACTTCAAACGCGGCGCACTCGTCCTCATCCGCAATACCGCCATCGAGAAGTCTCTCAATAGGAAGATGCGCCCGCGATATCTCGGTCCTTACGCCGTGCTTTCACGCAATCGCGGAGGTGCGTACATCGTCTGCGAGCTCGACGGCACCGTCCTCGACCGTCCTATCGCTGCTTTCGCGTCGTACCATACTTCGCCCGCAACTCTATCGCACTGCCGACATCGCGGACCCCGACTCACCTTTCGACATCTCCACCTCCCGCCTTCGCGAAATGGAAGCCGCAACGTCCCTCGGCGACGACGACGAGCTCGACCCCACCGAATCCATCACCCCCGACCACGTCGAAGACGATGAAGACGCACTGTAGAGCAGGGCGCCCGATGCGCGCATCTGGAGTATGCCGCGGAGTTCAGGTTCAAGTAGGGAGGGTCTTGGCTTCATTACCTGGTACGCCCCCTCTTGGAACCGCTCTCCTGCGTCCCTGCAGCGTACAAGACGCTCCTCCACCCCCCAATTTTTTCCGCCCGCACGGCTTCGCGCTATGCTTTGTCTC